TAGAGAAAATGAATATTGATAAAGTTTACCTTTATGTACAGAATCTGAATATCGCAAAATATTTTAAAAAATTGCAATAATATCGTATCGTGTGTTAAGTATTGTCATAATATGGTATCGTGAGTTGTATGGTGATTCCCACCTCTAGTAATTAGTAACTAATTACTTTTTTAAAAGTAACTTGACCAACAATGATGTGTTGTGTTGTTTAATATAGTTTCTAGTTTCTAAGTTATTAAGGAAGCAGTTCACCCATCAGCTGTGGAAGGTGAATATTTGTACTCTAATGAGCAACATGAGGCAAAAGGAAGACACCATCACCTGACTAAAGTTAACCTGGCCAATGGATCTGACTGAAGTCTTTCCTTCTTTAATGTGGCAGAAAAAGGGCTACACACTTTATCAGAATTTTAAACTTTAGGATCAAACAACAAAAGCTGTGTCTACTTCTGTCATTTATTAGGAAGCTTGAGCTACGCCTCAAACTAGTGTCTAAAACAAAGCTGCAAAAATCATTTGAGGAGGTGAGGCAGGTTACTGTCTTCAGCATTTTGCGAGACAGGTGCCTTTTGGCAAACACTCAGCTGGAGAGGTGTGTTATAACCTCGGTCATTTAATAAGCCCCTTGAAAACATTGGCTTTGAGAGCGGGAGCTGAAGGGGAGCATTCATCTCTTTGTGCTGTTACCTTGACATTCCTCGTATGCTGACAAGGGCTAGCTGTGCGTGTTAGCATGGTGTGACAGACTGGCTGAACGGCTAGCAGTAATTATCTGGTGCTGCTCTGTGGCTCAGAGGTGATCTGATGCTTGAAGATCGGGGAGCAGTGTTAACATCCAGCTCGTTAACATGCTGCAAGCACTCGAGTGGGGATCCGTTCAGCTGGGGCTGAAATCCTCAACAGCACGGAAGCTAATAATCACCTCTCTGTGATCGGAGGATGCATCGGCATCTCCGTTTCCTCCAAATCTACATTCACATCAGTTATTCCTTTTTTGTTTTCTCTTTATTGCATCACAAGATGAGAATTTTAGTTCTTTTAGGCTGCAGTCATTTGAAGTTTGTTTGTGTCACAAGAAGCAGAAAGACAGAGTGCGTGAGTGTGTCTGTTTTGTAGAGGGCAGCTGGAATAGAACAGAAATAATGGATGGAGGAACTGGAGCAAGCTTCATTACAGCTCCGTCTGTGTGTGGAGTCAGTTATCATATACAGAAGGGAACGAGTCTCCATCTACAGAGTTTGTGATGAGATTTGGTTTTGGAAAGTTTTTGGTTCCATTTTCTTTTGTTATTGTAGTGAAGTCGGGTTTTTGTGATTAAGTTCTCAGCTCCCTGCTTTACTTTTATTGTCATCCTCCCCGGTGTTCCCCTGACTCTCTTGGTATTTGATGCATGAAGGCTTCCTCGGCTCAGCTCTCGTGCTGCAACACCCTGTCACCACTTTTTTTTAAAAATACTTCTACTACCATCACACCAACAGGCACTTTAGTCTTTGGACAGGCTCAAACCGGAGAGGTGATCAATGCACCACAGCGCTGCACACCCCTGGCAACTTTGGGGAAAAAGCCATCGGTTGGTGTTGGTTGCCAGGTGAAATCAGGGTCTGCTGCACCAAAAACATAATTATAATTGCTTTGGTAGCAATCAGATTGCCATAGTCACCTGCAGTTTGCATGCAGGATGCCAACTACTCACCAAGCAGTTGAAAAAGTTTGGTTTGGTTTAGTGTTTGGCTGTCACCTTTGCTTTTGCGCCCTCTGTGTCAGCCCCTTGTGCATATGTAATCACGCCTTTCCCTGCGCTTTGCCTCACAAACAGCATGCACACCTGACTTTCTGTACAGTATGGAATTAGCTTCTAAAAACACTGACACATAGGCCTGGTCTACCTGGACTGGCAGCATGCTCGAGGTGCCCCAGGCTGGTCTGTTTGGTGACACGGTAGATGAGCTCGCCCGGCTCGCTGTCCTGGTCGCTGGCTGACAGCTGCAGCGTGGTCAGCTTCTTCACTGAGTTTTCATCAAGCACCAGGCCTTTGTTTACCACTACAGATGGAGGGAGATGGTCCTCTGCAAGATAAAATAAATAAGCTCAGTATAAAAAGAAAAGGAGCAGAGAGAAGAAAAAAATTTCAAGTCCCCCGTCAAGCTAAGATTTATCAGTAAAACCTGGCTTTTGGCAGCGTTTGGGAAAACAATTCATCCAAAAGGAAATCAAAGTATTACGAATCAGTTTCTTATCCTGGTAAAAGAGACAAAGGATGGACTATAGCAGAGGAGGTGAAATAAGCTGAGATTTATATAGACCGAGAACGACAGTTTCATATCAGGAGGTGTGAAAAAGTGATATAGGTTTGAAAGTTTAAAAAAAAGGATAGAAAAGAGTGAGAGAAGGGCAAAGAAGTCATCAGAGGGCAGTACGGCAGGAAGAGATATGGAAGGAGAGCTTCCCTGTAGTCACATCTGAGAGGGTGCAACAAACAGAAAAGTGAAAAAGGTGAGAAAATAATAGGCTAAAAAGAGAGCTGCAAAAGATATGAGAGGGTCGGGATGCTGCTCAACCATGAGGGAAAGGCAATCCTTCAATATCCAGTAGCTTCTCATGTGGACACTGGATTAAAACTGCTGAACCAGTGCAATAGTTGGTTTTATCCCCAGAAGGAAGCGAGAGGAAGCTTTTCAGATGGAAACGGTGACGATAAAAATGTGCGCAGCTGAGTTTTCAGGGTTTATCACGGCTCAGAATGGGTCTTTGGCAGTTGACTACCCACAACTGCAAAATAAGTCTGCGTAGTTTAAAATAAAAATGCATCTTTTTTTTATTTTCTCACAATCTAATAAAGAATAGTGTCATTTATATATGACAAAAAATTGCCAAAAATAATTGCATTACAGCGATGATAAGAAGAAAATCGCTGCAGCGAATGAAATTTACAAATTTCTGACAATGTCGATTAAAAACCCAAAACGAGCTCATTTAACATGCGGAAGCTAACAAGCTGTAAAAGTGGGTTATAAATAACATGACTGCACACAATTCGTATTCAGGACGTATGCAGGATGCAGCATCACATCAGTAACCACGCCTGAGACGGAGGGATAAATCTGCAGTAATTGCCTTCTCTTCTCCACCAAATGAAAGAACACTTCAGTCCCTGCTTTGCAGAGGGTGGAGGAAACCCTACCGAGCACACTGATGAAGAAGGACTGGTCGATCAGTTTGTTGCCCTCCGGATCGAGCAGGTTGAACTTGAACGACAGGCTTCCTCCTTTCTCCCCCTTCTCGTGGCTGTACTGCAGCAGGCCTGCAAGACACAGACAAGCACTCGGTGTCAAAGCTTCTAACTTCATGCAAAAGTGTAACTGCTGGGAATAATTCAACTCCAATGAATCACACGACCTTAGAGCTAAATTACTGTGAGCGAAACTAGAAAGCACTGACAACTTTGAATGCGTCTTCCACGCTTTTATTTTGTCTTATCACTAAGTTTTTGAATGTAATTCAAACAATGAGTGAACTGAATTTAGCAGAAATGTGGTTTAAAATTACATTTTGATAAATGTACACTGCAAACCACCTGTGACCTTTTCTGCATTTTGTATTCTTGCCCATGTCTGGGTGAAAGCAGCAATAAAACTGGAGCAATTTTTACTCTGCCATCAAGCTGTGCAAGTTAAGAGTTAATCAATAAATACCTCTTGCTTCTCAACCCACCCCTCTGCCAATATCTTACCTCCAACAACAAAACTAAGTAAGATAGTAAACTGCATACACAGTTAGCTGTAGCCACTGTGACATCACCTCATGGTTGGTTGTGAAAAGTCAAAGTTAAAATGACCTGTTATAGCAGCTGATGGGGCATTTAACCTCTAAGATGGTCCCGAGACGCCACGCCAGGACATGTTTGTGACTTAAGGACGCATGCGTTGAGGTATCAGTCGAGGTTAAATTGCTCTGAACGGGATCTCAAGACTGTATTAGACGCAGAGATGGGCAGTAATGTGTTACAAGTAACGCGGATTACTTTTTTCAAGTAACGAGTAAAGTAAGGGATTACTATTGCAAAAAAGGTAATTAGATTACCGTTACTTTCCCGTAAGCACGCTGCGTTACTAAAACCGTGATTTTTTTTGCGAGAGTGTCTCATGACAGTGACATAAGCGAGTGTGACGTTCGTGACAACAGCTGTGTGCAGATCAACAATGGATCATATATCGAATGCGGAAGAGAGTATGAGCGTGCAGCGTTTAAAGCGTGGAAGTACTGACCTTACTTTGAGTTTGATTCTGTAAAAAGTGGCAAAAACATTAGTGTCCATTGTGCGTGGGAAGAAAACTTCTTTTTACAGCGAAAAAAAACCCCTAAAATTCCGAGCAAGCACCGAGTAGCTACGACGTAATGGGAAACTCACAGAGAAACCTGCGGATTCTTCCACTGACCGCTGTGGCACACCTGCACCAGGACAAACTTCCGCCTGCTATACAGGTGAAAATAGAGCAACAGGACCGCTGAGTCTTTGATTTTATTTATTTTCTGCTGTGTTTTACTTGCATCTATTTGAAAGACTGAGGATAAAGACAAAAAATATTTTATTTTATGTGCTGGAATGTGCAGAAAATAGGTTTAAATGTTAAACAAATTTCTTCCAGTCAGAGAATGTTGCATATAATTAAATTTTTGCTTGATGCATAAAGTTAAAAGATTAAAACTAATAAAACAAGTTTTAAAAAGAGACTTTTCCATTTGATTACATTTTGTATGATGGATTATGTAGAAAAAGTAGAATTGGGCTGAAAGATCTATCGCTTTATCACCTATTCAGGTTGTAAATCGTGTTTTTAAATAGTAACTAAGTAACTAATTAATTAATTACTTTTGAAAATAAGTAATCAGTAAAGTAACGGGATTACTTTTTGGGGCAAGTAATCAATAATTAGTTACTGATTACTTTTGTCAAGTAACATGACCAACACTGATTACACGTGACCTTTGTTCAGTGATGGTCATTCACAGTGGACATAGATAGCTTCCTTTAATGCTCCCTCAAACCACTTTCTTTCTCTGTCTTAAATGCGAACCTCCATATCCTCAAAATAGTCTCTTGTCTTGTCCTTTCCATGCACATGCACATCTGGGGCTTGTACTGAAGAGCTGAAACTTCAGGCTCTCCTGTATTTGCTCTGCACATGCGGAGTGGTTGTTTGCTCTCTCCTGTGTATTAAATCCAAGCACTCTTCACTGCACTGCACACCATACCAACATTTATCAGTCCAGCTGCATTCGACTCAAGGGCTTTATTCTACCATGACCCGGACGCCTGAGCTGAAAGTGTGAAAGCATATCCCGTTTTATGATCTATTAAAGGGTAATTTATAATTTATAGTGTTGTATGCATTCAATCTTTAAACTACAGGTCAAAACCACCTTTGTCACAAAGGAGATGAACATTTGGTTAGATGCTTAAAATATGGGCTATAACAGTGGCTTTGATACTTTTACTTTATGTTCTACAACATAAAATATTTTAAGTAATTTGCTAACAAATTGCTAAATTACAGAAATTGTTGTAACAGGCAACATCATCGCAGCAAATGCAGGAGTTTTACTTCATCTGTAGCCTGACGTGTTTCTTTTGCTGATACGATATCCGTATATGTTGCTAACTTTCACGTTGGCCTGCAAAAGACATCATGTCACTATCTGCTGGCTCCTGCTGGTCACTGGGAAAAACACAGGATTAAAGCAGTCGTTCCAAACCTAGAGGTGACATCCATCTTTTATATACAGTCTATGATAAAGCAAAGACGGAAAACTGTGGGACATCTGTGCAAAGTTACAACAATGAAAACTAAAGCTGGCACCTTTGTTGACGTCCTCCTGAGTGAAGCTCTGAATGGGACCTCTCACAGAAACTGTCTCCGCTCGGCTGCTCCTGTTGAGCTGCAGCTTGCCGACTGGGGGGTCTTTGGTCAAGATGTACCGGAGCTTCAGGTGGTCTGAGTCGATGTCAGTACCTTTCAGATTCTGCTCTGTGATCTTAGATGATGACCCTGAAAAAGTACAGAAATCTCAATGATCAAATTTTACTTTACATTTATTTGATTGGATTCTTTTTTCTTTTCAACTGAAAATACAAGAGCTGCTTAAACTCACTTGAAGAGACTGAGAAATACTCTTGAAATAAAAACCTTAACAAGGCCTTAATTTGTCTTTTAACAACAACTTTTAGCTGAAAACAAAAACCCAAATATTTCCCCACACACGAAAAGCTGGACATAACAAATAAAATAGGAAGAAAAAAGGGGAAAATATTAAAAATGGGGCACTACAGTGTATCATAATACATTCATATGAATAATTACTAATCAGCTGAGGTTTTTTAATAAAAACAACACTATTTTAACGTAGTTTCTCACTAAGCAGGGGAACTATGAACAAACTGATTTAGGAGGAAGAAGAGAAAAACAAGAGGCTATAAGCATGAAAAGAAAAACTACTGAGTTTATTTATGATTGTAAAAGTATTCTGACTGGTGTCCCCGGGCGTCTGGTTTAACCTGAGATGAGTCAACATCTCATCAAATACATTTATTACTGCATTTCTTGACTCTCACCTGCTGGAAGCTGCAGTCCCCTGTTGACGGTCATTCGAGGTCCCTCGCTCCTCGTGACGTCCATCGTGAACTCCAGGCGGCCCGTGTGGGTGTAAATGCCATCGGTGAGGGTGAAGGCCATCTCGTCTGCTCCCCCGCTGACAGTTTCAGGCGTGTAAACCAGCAGCTGATCCACCACATCCTGATAGGTGAAGGTGGAGCCCTGCGTTAGGACGCGACCGTTCTCCAGTGGCTGGGAGTAGAACTGCCGCCTGCGGAGCTTGCCTAGGGGAATAAAAAATAAACCAAGCTCAGATTGTGAAGGGGGTGTAAGTGGGGGAGTGGTAACTGAATAAGTACATCTTTTTAATTGCTCTGATTATCTAAGTCAAATGGAGGATGTTTGAGTTTTTCATGCAGCACATGAAAGACAAGAAAGCTCTTTGTAGAACCTAATGAGACATTTTAGATTCCTCTAAATTACCCTGCTTCTTAAATCAAAGCCCAGGTTTAAATAGGATTTAAGTCCAAATCCTGCAGCGTGAAGAGGGGACACACAGACGTACACCCTCATTTATTGCCTCCCACACATTCCCTCTTCTTCTTCTTTTTTTTTTAAACGTCTGCAGTGAAACGTTTCCGCACTGTTTAAAAGCAGAAGATGGACAAATCAAACACTTCCACCAATCCTATATGGAGGATTTAAAAAGCCAAAAAATTCAATAAAATACAACCCCAATTTCCAAAAAATGTTGGAATGCTGTGTAAAATATTGCATATTAAACCTATGAAAATATTTTCCTCTCCAAATATTTTCAGAGCTTGCAGTCAATTTATAATCTATTGCCTTGCAGTATTTATTTTCACTGCATTTTCTATATTTTGCCTTTTTTAAAATGAATCTTTTATTTTGTCAGTGTAAATCCATCGTTGGGGTATCCCCATGTTATTTGCATAAAGATTAATTTATAGAGTTTGAGACTGTTTGGCACTAACTAGCTGGAAATTATGTGCATTTAGAAATTTCTCTTGGCCTTAAACTGCTTCGACAGCACGAGGTCTACAAGTGCGTGCACATTTGCTGGAGTGTTGCTGCAACCTGGCGTCTTTATTAGGTTTGAAGGGGTCTCTCATACTTCCTCTAAGATAAATAGATTGTTGTAGGGGTGTGTGTGTGTGTGTGTGGATAGTGGAGAGGTAGCCAGTTAAAAAGACGAGCTGACTGGGAGTCATCGACACGTCTGAAATCACTCATCTTGCGCTCTGTCCCATCAACCGTTCACGCCGGTGGTTTTATGGCGGAGGCACGCTTGGTTTCACCAGCTGCTTTATGGTGCTTTAACTGAGTGGGGGAGGGGGGGGAGATGTCCCAGACCAGGTGTCTGTTGGGGTGGGTGAGGAGTATGGGAGGGGTGATAGTTGAAGACAGCATCGAGTTAGTGTCAAACATCTTTGGGGGAATAATCCATACGACTAATTTGCGTGATCAAGACCAGGAATTCATTAGTGTCAGTCGGAGATTACCTTTGCATTAACAAAGCTCCTTAAATCCTTAAATACAAAACAGTCAGTTAGAGAGAATGCCTTTAAGTTTTCTCAGCCAGCTGGGTCATTATGGCGCTAAAATAAAAATCGTAACATGTAAAGAACAAATGAGATCCTGTGAAACAGGGTTTATATTCCGCCGTCTTTCACGACTTTGTAAACTTTGCTAAAATTGGGTTCGAAGACATTTTTGCTGTGAATAAGTGCCGTATACTTGTCTTTAAAAAATGTGTTTTTCGTGAAGCAATTTCTTTTGGTCTACCAGACTGTGGCAGGCGGAGAGAAAACTCAATTTGGGACGGTGAGAGGGCGTCAGAAAAACAAAGTGTTTGGAGGTCAGTTGATTTGAGTTTGTGTCGCTGTGTCATGTGAGGAATGGCTGCAGTCAGCATGCAGCGCTGCAGCGGGCTGCCGCTGTGTTTGTCTTGTTTTAAACTGGGTGTCGGAAATAAGAGTAATGTGTTTATGTGTGTGTCTGTTCATCTCTATCACGTCCAGAACAATTTACTATCAACATGCCAGGTACCTCTTAACATAACTCTCTCCTGAGCGCCGTGTTAGGTTTTGTGTGTGTGCAGATCTAAAGCATGTGAGATATTTCAATATACTGACTGCACACGTCTCTGTTGCTTTCATATTTGAAAAACATATATGATGCCATATGAACTGGTGAATAAGCAAATGGACTTTAAGAGGAAGAATAACTAAAAGTATCTCAAAAGCATCTGTTTGTTTATCTAAGTAACAGTAAAATTGCATAATTTCCTCAGGGATTAATAAAGTATTCTGATTCTGAGATCAAAGGGACTGTTCAAATTGCACTTTTCTGGGTTCATAATCCCACCAATTTTGATAAAATCCCCAACATCACTGGCTGAAATGCAGCTCTGAACCATTAAAGAGCTGGACAGATGTAGACAGTCACTGTTGTACCTCTCGCCTCCTCCGTTCATCCCAAAGATGATTTGAACCAAAACTTTTGATTCGTAAGGATACAATTTAAAATTGGTTCTTTGCTAAATTCTCTGTTATGTGTAGACCTGGTTCATACCTTGGGTTGGCTGCCTTTTTAGTGCTTGAATGATTTATAGATCAGTGTGTTAACAAAACAACAAATACAGTCCTCTGAAAACAGCCAGGTAATAGGACTGTACTAAAAATGAGTGAAGAAACAGCCAATGGCAAAAAAAAAGAAGAAATAAAGGGTGAGTCAAGAGCACTCTATAATAGAGAGCAAAAAGCAATAAAAATGTCAAGTTTATATAGATGAACTCAGTTTTAGCTAAGGCTATAAATCACTTCAGCTGTTAGCTA